AGAGAAAAACGCCAAGTACTATTTGGACGGGTTACAGAGATGGGAGCATCGCTGGGAGAAGTGTGTAGAGTTACAAGGAGACTATGTTGAAAAATAAAAAAAAAATTTCAGAAAAAATGTCTTCTATCTTTGTTAGGTCGGAAACTTTTCAGACAGCCCTCGTAAAAGATCAAAACTAATGTATCCATATAAGTATAACAAATACCAGTATAAAAGCATAAAGAAGAATAGAATGCAGATGTGAAAAAACGGACATTGTGTATCGACTAATGTGAACGCTCGCTGAAACGAATCACCACGCACTGAGAGAGGAGACGGGCCGTCAGTACCAAAAAAGTCAAACTTTATTTACAATGGGTAAATATGCCTTATGAAGATCTTCAGTCCGTTTGTAAATTAAGACTGTTTTTCTGCTTTTTAATGTAAAACATTTCGGAAATTAAATGTTTCCTATAAAGGCTCTTCATCTAAGATTTTGACGTTGTTCCATTGGAAATCGTGATTACATTGTAGCCTACTGGTCAGTGATGACAAAACGGACAGAAGTTTCATGCCTGATATGATTACGATGTTCAGTAATTCTAATTTTCAATTGTCTGCCGATCTGTCCAACATAAGACGCATCGCAATTGTTACACGATATTTTATATATTATACTATATTGCTTTTCGATGTATGAAAACAAACGTCCTTCTGTACTTTTATGTATTTACCCAATTTATTAGGGCTATGAAAAGATACCCTGATGTCGTTTTTATTAAATCTTCTAAATTTCTCTGTGTGATGAGGAATGTATGGAACCGTAAGCCAAGAGGCAGTTTCATTCACACAGACTTTATCAGTCAGATCATTATGTACTTTCTATTTTTGTAATATCTATTTTTAATTAAATTTTTAATACGTTGATTAACAGTGTCAAAAATAAAATTCAATGGATAGTCATTATCTAGTAAAATATTAATAATAAAAGTCAGATTTTTGTATGAAACATAACGTCAGATAATAAAAAAGCTCTGTCAACTAATGAAAAAATAGTGCCTTTTTTCTGTGTCAAAGGATGATTGGAATAAAAATTTAGAAACCTTCCTGAAAACGTCGGCTTACGGTACCAATAAAAAATGAAACGATTGTTGTTGATGGATACGGTGATGTCAAGGAAATTTATTATATCTCCCCTTCTTTCAACAGTAAATTGAAGGCGCGTATAAAAAGAATTGAATTGTTCTAATAAAACGTCGGTTTTAGAGGGAGACATATATCATCAACGTATCTGTAATAAAACAAAATGTCCAAATTCAACGACATCAAGGACACCTTCTCCAATCTCCTCATCACTAAGTCCGCTATTATCGGTGATAAGGGAGAGCCCATAGGGATGTCAAAACTTTGCTTATAAATTACATTGTCAAAAGAAAAAAAGGTTGAATCTAAGACAAACCATATCGCTCCCAAAAACTCATTCTTGGACAGAGAGCAATTCTTGGAAATGAAATTCCATTGCTCGTTCACACAGTCGATCGCTATATCCATTGGAACATTCGTGAAAAGAGAAGTCACATCTAAAGAAATTAGTTCATGTGCACCTGTAAAGTATACACTTCTCAATTTTTCGACTAATTCAAAGCTGTTTTTGATGTAACTGTCTTTCGGAATGATTTTAAATAGTTTATTATGCAAAAAAGTATACTACAGTATACTGTAGTGACGGGTCACTTTCGAGAGCCTATGGGCTGCCGAAGATTCACAAGCCTGGTTGTCCTCTTAGAATTATCGTATCATTGGTGGGCAGTCCGCTGTATTCATTGGCTACTTTTTTGGCTACGTTCTAAATAGTCTATTATGCAAAAAAGTTTACGAGGGCAAGTCAATAAGTTTTTAAAAAAACATAGTAAAACACATTTTTTTTATCGATTCATTTTTATTTCTCAACATAGTCTCTTTTTAGCTCGATACATTTGATCCAACGATTCTCCAACTTTTTCAAGCCGTCTGAATAATATAATATAATTTGTTCAACCCTTCAAAATAAGCCTCTGTTTCGGCAATGAGTTGCTCTCTGGTGGTGAATCTCCTCTGTGAATTTCCTCTTTTCCATTTCTTCAGGTTTGGAAACAGGAAATAGTCGCAGGGAATGCTAAATCTGGCGAATATGCTGGATGGGGAAGCAATTCGTAACGGAATTCGTTGAATTTGGCCATCGGTACCGGGCACGTGTGAACCCGTGCATTGTCTTGATGGAAGAGCACTTTCTTCTTCGCCAAATGGGGACGTTTTTTCTTTAAAATGTTGTTGAAACGGGCCAATAAAGCTGCGTAGTAATCGCCATTGGTTTACTTCGACGGGAGGTAATCGATATGAATTATACCGCGTGCATCCCAAAAAACTGTGCCCAACATCTTTCACCGGTTCACGGTTTTCGCCTCTTTTGGAGCTGGTTCACCATGCGGTGAAATCCATTGTTTTGACTCGGGTGTACAGTAATGGATCCATGTTTTGTCTACAGTAATGAATCGACGCAGAAATTCATCTGGATTACGTTGAAACATCTCCAAACATTGTTTTGAAATCATCACACGGTCGCGCTTATGGTTCACAGTGAGCAGCATCCATCTCGCCGATAGCTTTTTCACCCAATTATTCGTGCAAAATTTAAATCACTGTGCCATGTGATATGCCTGTGGCCTCAACAAGCTGGCGCACTTTCACTCGTCGATCAGTCAAAACAATATCGTGGACTTTATCAATGATTTCTGGCATAGCAGCCTCAATTGGACATCCCGAACAAGGTGGATGTGGATGTACGACTACGTTTAAATTCATTTATCCAATTGTATACAGTCGCAAACGCTGGTGCAGATGTGCTATGAACATTATCCAACTCGGCTTTGATTTCTTTTGGCGTTAATCCTTTCATATGTAGATGTTTGATCACTGCACAAAATTCATTTTTTTTCATTTTACAAAAAATACAAAAATTGTTCGCTTTAATTGTCTACAGAAATGAAACCACGCGATGAATTCCTCAAAATTTAATAATAATCAACTGAAAGATGCTCTTGCCAAAAAGTAATGTGACATGACATTGCAAGTGCCTTCTGACAGATTTTCTAAGAACTTATTGACTTGCCCTCGTATTATAATTCATTATAATATTATTGAACTTTCTAACTATGAAAAATAACAAATAAATCAATTATTTTAAATGAATATAAATATTTTTTTTAAATACTACAACAATAACTAAATACTAACAAACAATACTAATACTTATTAAATATGGTCTACTTATGTAAGTATTATTATAGTTATTATTATTTGTTTGTTATGTACAGAATTTGTGCAAGTGTAGGCTTATTTTGCATTGCCATTTAATTGTAGAGGTCTATTCTTGAAACCTTAGATGTCGCATACGATATTGCATGCGATAACAGAAATGATGTTCTTGAATGGATAAGATGTATTGTCAGAGAGAAATCTCTCTGGTATCGTATGCGAGAAAATATCGAACGATTGATATCAAGTGGATAGTAACACTTACGATACGCAAGTCGCATACAAACAAATGTGTAATAAATGCAGTTTCCGACACAGAAGTGAGGTTAATGTGACGTACATTTAATTTATGTAGCAAAGAATATGGCATATCGAAATACTTCGTTTCATATCCAAAGAGAACAGAAAAATCAAAATAATGTCAATTTTACGTCATATTGGCAAATTTCTGTTATTTTTTGGTCATGATAAAAATCTCGATCTCAGGTGATCTAAGAATGACTTTACATATAATTCTTAGGATATCATTTTTAGGATATCATTGAGTAATTAGAAAAGATGTGGATAAAATTTGTACTCTATTCATATTTTGGATACATTATATTTCAAAAATTATTAAGATCTTATGTCTATATATGAAATATCTTCTATATATGTCTCTGTTCTATATATGAATCTTTTATATTATAAGTTACATACATATTTCAATGTGAAACTTAAGACATGTGAAAAATAATACATTTCATTGGAACTTTATTTTCCATATATAATTGTAGCTTTATTTTTTTTTAAATTTGTCTAAAATATAAGAAAAATTAAGTTTTTGAAATAAATTAATTTTTACATTTAATAATAATAAATTTAATAAATTAATTTTAAAATTTGCTATTTATTATCATAAAT